TACTTTCGACTGTACATTCAGTCATCTTCAGGCATGAAAAATTTATTTTGTTTCTGGTAAAATTCAGGTAGTATCTGAGACAAAAATATAATGCGAATCAAAATATGTCTTTTTGAAGTGTGTTATTGATAACAGATACAAATTTTTGGAGCATACAGTTGCAACACTAAGGTTGAATTTTTTAAACATTTAAGAGAGTGTTTTTTACTAATATGGCAATTTGAGAATTTTTTTTTGTAGGAGTTTATCAGTCAATATGGCATGAAATATTTAGTTCAATAAATAGAGTAACGTCTCAGTTATCCCAAAAATTTGCACGTCAGATCAGTTTTTTTAAATCAAATATGTGGTGCAGTTCAATTTATATTACAATGAATCATTCATATAAAAAGTAAATTAGTAAAGTTAATGAGATAAAATGGCAAAATCCCTTTGATAACAGAATTTTAAAGGTGCATTAACCTACCATTCACTCCATAAATGTTATGATCCTTGTTTTTTAAAATTATAAGCTGTACAAAGTCTTTCTTAAATATGCAAGTACTTTCAATTGTACATTCCATAGAGCCACTTTAACACAACACCAGCAGCAGTAGATTACAACAAAATGGCCTGCCGCCCACAACTTTAGAATGGGACTTCATTCATAATAAAATACTTAATAGTAAAGCAATTTTTTATCCACTTCAGTTTTGTTTAATTTATGAAATTTTAAAGAGTAGGCCCCTTCAAGAGGTGAAGTAATTATAAAAACTGTACAAATGTTAGTAGTTTTTATTAACAAAACATTTATCAAAAGAAGTAAATCTTTTATGGTGGAACCTTTTACCTTCAAAACAAGAGTGATTTGTCCTTAACTTTGCTAACTTGTAAAATATTATTATTATTGATTGAGGAATTATCTCTTACACATTCATGATATCCCTTTTCAGCTCAGGGAATATTAGATTTCTATCATTCTTGAAACATTTTCTATGAAAACAAAGGAAGCCACTTCATTACAAATGAAAAGTAATCACTGAGGTACAAAACAGATATCTTTACATCATGCTAACTTGCATTGTCTTGTTGAAAGATTAACTTGTTACTTTATTTATTGGCAGCTTTGGTATCAAGTTGTGTTCTAGCATTTCTTGGTACTTGAGTATTGTCAACATTTCATTAACAATGATTAGGCAGTAAAGTAAAGCTACTCCAGACCATAATTCCTCCACTGCCAAATCTACAAGAAAACATTTTTAGTGCTTTCCATGGTAGATCTTAGCAAAAATATGCTGTATTAGCAAGGCCTGTCAAGACTGAAGAGTTTTCATGTTCAGATACCATATCGCAGATTAGGTTACTATTTGAGAATCATCTCTGTCCACTGGAATCTAGCTTCTTTGTGGCATTTATTCAAGTATGGTTTTGGCTTAATATGCACCAATACTACATGAGACTTAATAGCCAAGCTATTGCAAACAGAAGTTTTGGTTTCTTGCCATATCTGGCCTATTGTCTGTACAAATTTTAGAACAGCTTTTGATACCTTTCCTATCACATCTCTTACAGCTTGTTGTTTGACCCACTCAGAAATATTCATTTCCAGCCAGCTATTTACCAAGCTTCACCATAATCCTCAGGATCCCAAATTAATGTTTCAGGTTACAATGACAGAATGATGTTTTCATAAATTTTGTTAAAATCTTTTCAGCATCCAGAATTAACATTTCAAGAAGGATTTTCTTTTTTTTTTTTTTTTTATATATATATATATATATATATATATATATATATATATATTACATTGTTATCAAATTTTGCTGTGAAGAATTCCTTTCATATAGAAAAATCATGTGGGATTTGATATGATCCTTTGAGTCAAATCTCTTCATAATCCCCTTGACATAAATATTTGAATGGATATATGTAAATAGATAACAAAGGTATATACAACACACATTTATATATAGAGAGAGGAAGGAAGGGAGAAAGGAAGGAACGAACGAATAAACAAGTTTTGAACCTCACCATGACAGGAGTCAATCTGAATTAGAAATGGGTCATACTAATAATGATTCAATAATTCTTCATGTGTGCATGTTTATATCTCTCTCTCTCTCCATATGTACACATGCATATATATAAGTATTGACAATTATGTGCATATATATGCATATGTATACACACTGAAAATGGCATACACAAAAATATGTATATGCAAAGACACAAAAAACCTATATATGATGCAGACATTATCTGTTTTGGCATATTGAGAAAAATGTCTTTCTAAAATCTGTATGGCCTGAAGATTGTGTTTAAGCTTGAAACAGACTGTTACAACTAAAGGTTGATCTCAATGTCCATTTTTACACACACACACACATGCACATATATATATATTTAAGACATTTTTTATGTTTATATTGTTTTTTGTATGATAAAGCATCATATATATATATATATATATATATATATATATATATATATATAATTATAAATTAATTGATTTAAAATGTTTTTTTTTTTTACTACACAGTTCTAACTATGTTTCAAAAACTGTGTAAAACTAGCGAAAAAACCATATTTTAAATCAATTAATTTATAATATTAATGCTCTGTAAATTTACATTGAGCACTATTTTGTAAAAATAAAAATATCTATAAGAACACCGGATTATATATCTTACTGTTCTTTCTTTTTATATATATATATATACTCACACACACATGCACACATGGATATTTCAAGATATATTTTGATATTAATTAATATTTAACTTCTATATTTTTTTATCTTAATCTATTCTCTGATCCATATTAACTTGTTATTCCTATATAAATATTTCATCCAATCATTACAAAGTTCATCCTCAAACATGAACAATAATGAACCTAGTGATGAGTAAATTAAGAAAACTATTAAAAAACTAAGGAATAATAAAGAATTATGCAACATTGAAGCTGAACTATTGAAGATTACTTACTTTCTCCCCTAATTCAATAACAAGTTTCTATATCTTATGAAAGAAATTTGGATTTAAAAATGCATTCACATAACGTGTGGCTTATGCATTATAGAAACAGAAAGGTAGCTCTTATGACCCTCACACACACAGAGGTATCATAAATGGTTTCATCATGTTGAAAATATTAAGGAACATTATATTAACTAGGCTCTTGTTGTTTTATGAAAGTTAAATCTTCATGACATAGTTTAGTTTTCATTCAGGTAAAGGATGGAATAATGCCACATATCTCATCAAGAAATTGCTTCAGTCAGTTATGTGCCATGCGTGATATATGCTTAGGTGATCATGTATCTTTTCATACATGATTGCCAAGGTAGATTTTTTCCTGTAGTAGGTTGTCATTTCTTTCCGTGGTAGACCAGTTGCCATCCAAGGCTATAGAACTTGGCCTATCTCGCTATTTACCCATAGCTAGTGGGAGAAGAAGAGGATTCATACCTTTCCCAAGGGTATTAGCATGTAAGTGAATGTAATGGATTTGACTGGAAGAAATTGCTTACATTTCTAATAGGAAATGGCATATCTGCTTTGTCAACCTCATCATGCCATATAACCATTTCACCACATAAATAGACACTTCCTCTTCTCATCCATTAGAAACTGCCTTCCAAGTTTTGAATCCACTGAATGCATCACTATAACAGAGAAACTGCATCATTCTACAGAATCTGACACCTGGTGAGGTCTCCAGTACAGAAACATTTCAAACCTCATCAGGAGTATGATAAGAAGAAGAGAGCCTCATTCTATTTAATCTCTTCCTAGCCTTTGTCCTGCACATTTACAAACACAGACAAAAGAACTAATGTGTGTTGGGGGTGGGGGGGCTTGGAAAGACAATATTTCTAGTTTGACCATTACAGCCATTAGTAAATCTGTGACATACTAATAACTTAATACAACAAAAGGAAGGACTAGAATAGCTGAAAGAAAGGAACAACAAATATGCATTATTTCCAAAGGGATTTTATATGTTGCTATATCATACAAGATATTATATGTGTATACATGTCACTGTTTGTTTCACACAGAGAAACTATAACACATATGAATACAACAAGCAGTGTGAATGGTTGAAAAGCAAGAGGCTTTTAATTGTAATATTTCCCAAAGGGAAAATGACCATCATGATGAAATATATAATTACTTTCTAGATACTCTAATGCCAAAATTATGTTAGACCAGCACAAGGCCAAATAAGTCAGGTAGGAATGCAAGTAGAAAGAATGCATTGGATCAGTCTTTCAAATGACAACCTGCTTTGAAAATCAATATTTTGAATTCCAACTGGGCTTATATTTATATTTGTGAAAATATGCCACTATCGCACTGGCCAACCAAGCACTATTTTCATATGTGGATATAATGTAAGTATCAAATCCATGACATGAACATACTGTGTGTAAGATTAAGTGGCAAACAGTAATAATTGACTCTTTATCACATATACATACATACTGATATCTAAATGTTTATCTGTGTTTGCATGTCTAGTTGAATATCAATTGTATAGTAGCATGTGTCCAGATAAATCTGTGAACTTGTAATTCTATATTTAAAACTGACCAGCCAGTTTAAAAGCAGTAAATCATGAATTCTGTCGTATTCTAAGAAGCAACAAGTAAATACTTTTGCACAGAAGGAAGCAAAATAATTGAGTCGGAACAGTTGGTGGGAAGAATCTTTCCCTATTTTTACATATTTTTCTAATTACAGCAAAATGGCAGTTCTTAGGTAATAGCCTAATGGTTTGTCATTATTAAAGAAGTCACCATAAGGTCCACTGTTCAGTCACTTTTATTATATAAAGAAATATAAAAACATCTGATTTTTACTGATAGAGGTCAAAAGTTCAAATAGCTACAGACTAAACAAAAGTTTTGCTGTCAGAACTTTTTACATCCTAATTTCAAAGATGCTGAAATTTAAGTTTATTTTCTTCATATTCCAAGATTACGAATGGACCATTCTCATGCTATTTTCAAGGCTTATGGCTATATCATGTTGAAACACCAGTTCCCATGCAATCACCAAAGTTAAGCAACACTGACCTTGGTCAATATCTAGATGGGTGACCGCTTGGGAATACCAGGTGCTGTAAGCCTAGATGTGTAGGTGGTGTAATGGATAATGGCACAGAATTGTTAATTAGAGAGTCAAGCTCCAATTCTAGTTGGGTTCATTATATTCCCTTCCACACAAATACCATTGGAAAAGATATGAATCTACAACTTATCACTCCTAGCTATGAGTTGATTAGTAAGATTTGTATCACTACAATCATTATTTTTTTAAAAATTGCATACAAAATATTTATGTTTATACGTTTTTATGTATGACGTCATATATATATATATATATATATATATATATAATTATAAATTAATTGATTTAAAATGTTTTTTTTGCTACACAGTTCTAACTATGTTTCAAAAACTGTGTAGAACTGTAGCAAAAATACCATATTTTAAATCAATTAATTTATAATATTAATGCTCTGTAAATTTACATTGAGCACTATTTTGTAAAAATAAAAATATCTATAAGAACACCGGATTATATATATATTACTGTTCTTTCTTGTTATACTCACACGCACACATGGATATTTCAAGATATATTTTAATATTAATTAATATTTAACTTCTATATTTTTTTATCTTAATCTATTCTCTGATCCATATTAACTTGTTATTCCTATATAAATATTTCATCCAATCATTACAAAGTTCATCCTCAAACATGAACAATAATGAACCTAGTGATGAGTAAATTAAGAAAACTATTATTTTTTTTAAAATTGCATACAAAATATTAAACTGATATGCTATTAAACAACCAACCAATGATTTTTGTTTTTATTATCACAATATTTCAGCTGTTGCGTCTGTTGGCTTTCAAGTGCCTGTTAATTTGAGACAACTTTAAGGAAGTTCAAACTGAACCCCTTCTTTAATCTATGGGGATAGATTGTTCTTGTTCCATTGTAAGTTGTTCAACTCATATACAGTTAAATGTTTATTTAAAACATTGTTTTTGACATGTGTTTAAAATTAGTTTATATCTAATTTATTGTCAATCATGCCCATATTTAACTAAGATGGTTAAAGGCAGTTTTCATAAAATATCCATTCTTTTCTTCAATTATTTTATCAGCTTACATGATAACTGGCATCAGACTATGACAACTCAGCAAGAATTGATAAAACCAAGTCTGTTACAAGAACACTTACTGAATATTTGAATCTCTTATGGTAATGGTAATATTATCCTTTTCTATATAAGGAAACATTCAGCATTTGTTGACCAAGCAGCTAGTGCCACTTTTGGTTGAAGTTTATAAAATCTTTCTCTTAAATTTTTTCATAAAAATAAGTTTATCAAGCTCAGTAACTGTAACTGCTTTTTCCAGTATTGATGGGGTTTCCTTCCTAACCTTTTGTCTAAAGTAGTGGGAAATATCAACATCTTGATGACATCATTATATTCTCTTCGAGTTATATATGCTATCCAATTTATTTGCTGCTGTAGTTATCAAACAGGCCATAAAGGATGTGAGTTAAAAGCTGTTTCCTCTAACAATTGAGAAAATAATAACTTAAGAATTATCTTACAAATTCAGAACATTTCACATAACATTATGGATTGATACTGTGAGATGTCATATCTTTATGTTTATTTAATTGCTGAATGTTAATAACAAGGAAGTCTTAAAATGGGAACTAGAAAGTCTCCTTTTATATGCTATGTCTCTTCAGAGTATGAATGACCATTGTTCTCTGAAATTAGCCTCTCACTGGTCTGTTGCTATTTTCATGACAGATATTCAAACAAGCTACATTCCTTAGATCCACCAGTCCAGACCTTCACAGCTAGGAGCCACCATGCAACATATACAGAGTCAATTCATCCTCATTCCTTCCATATTCCATTGCTAAGAAGGAAGTTGATTCTTCACTGTAACTCTTACTTCCTGAAACAAACTCAAAAGGATACTTCACTTATCCCTACAATCATATCTTAACCTCTTTAATTTTAGAGTCTGCTGTTATCTATCCTACATATCCTCATAACAATCACATCCTACTGTCTCATTTTATGCTGTTACAACAACTTCATCCAGTAATCCTCTACCTTAAATCACTCTTGGGCCTTGAATTGGGTGAACGATGATACAAAAAACCTTCCTGACCTTTATAGTTCCAAGCAGTGTATGTCCTTTTACTATCCCATATTATCATTGTTCTGCCATTGATTAACACAAACCCATTAGGTAGGTTAATTGTTGCTTCTCTCTGCCCCTCTTGCCATAAGTATGTTCTGTGAGTGTCAGATATTCCAAGCCCCCTTTCCTCATTATGTTTCCCAGTATGCAGTGGACAGAATGTGCAGGTAACAAAGAAATGTTAAATAAAATGGGAATGAGAAGGAAACTTAGACTTCAAATCAGAAATTTCTGGAACACATTGTGAGAAAAGAGGGTTTGGAAAATTTAACTGTCCCAGAGCATGTTGAAGGAAGTGTGGGTTGAAGGTAACAATGAGTATAATACTTTTGTGGGTATAGATGGCAGAGCAGGTACAAAAAGGAATGGTAAAAATTCAAGTTTACACTTCTTATTTCCTACCTTTACACCCAAGCAACAGCCTCATTTATTAACCCTCTGCCTTGAGTGTCTGTTAGGCTTTGTATTGGAGTAATAATAGTATTAAAAAAGAACAAAAAAGGACATGATTTTATGAATAGCCATGATTGCTCATCTCTTGAATGGGCATTGCACATTGTAGGAAATTCAGTCATCTAGGTTCTTTTTGTATTAAAAATCTGAATGTCTAAATTCTAAACAATAATAAGAATAGATAAAACATGGGTATGCATGTTAAACAAATCATTTGGATTTACAAACATGTGTACATGAATTCAAAAGAGGCAAAATGAGTCAAAAATAGTTCAGTTTTTGGGTAGTTGGTCCACAGAAAAGGCTATGATTTAGAAAAAAAATTTGATTGTCAACAAAGATTCACTAACCATCCAAACTCTCTGATTTGTTTGATGTCATGAACACATTTCTTTCATCACATTCTGAGAGGGAATGGAAAAGCTATGTAACCACATCTTCCCTTGTGTTTAAACAGCTTGGAGTCAGTTATGTATCTGCAACTGAAAGCTGAAATCAGTAGGTTTTTGCAAGAAATTTTTCCTGAAAGTAAGATCAAGAAAAAATAGGTTTTTAGTTTTCTCTGATTGGTCAGATATTTCACATGGGTAAATTAATTTCAAACCAATGTATACTTTGATTTAAATGGTGTGTGTTGTGGAATCTTTTTGGCATATTTGTAAATATTATTTGTTAGTTGGTAAAACAAAATGTTATGAATGTGGATATGTAACTGATTTTGAAATAAGGATTATTTCCTATAATTTAAGAATTGGATCATATGAAGGCATGGAATAAATATTTTATCTTTGAGGAGATTTGATATGAGATTTTTTTTCATTTTGGATCAAGCTTGTGTCCAACTAATTATTGACTGCCAGTTTTGGAATTAAACTTTGAGGAATTCAGCTGCAAGAGACATCTGCATAATTACGTGAAATAAAATAAGCTGTTTTTTTTTCTTTCACATTGAAAGCTCATAGTTAAAACTAGTTTAGGAAGTAGTTTGCTTTAATCTGCTGCTGATTTGTGTATTCAGTCATAAAAATGCTATCCCCATATTCAAGATGTTAATTATAGTTGGAAACCTTTTCCATCAGAACATAAACTCAGAAACCTGATTTTTTTTGGTGGGGGAATGAATGGATACATTCAGCTTTAATATTGATCTGTGCTTAGAAACAAGTTATATCTGGTAATAAATGATCAGTCTATAATCAGGTAGATATGCAGTGTCAAGCTTGCTGAGTTAGCATAGTGATACATTGTATACAAAACCAATCTATTAATGTTCTACCATCACTGAACAAACCCTGGATGGCTGTTCTCTCGGCTAGGTGCCATCTTGTCATGTACACTGGGATGAACCATTCACATTCAGTTACATTTTATTACTAAGAAGGAAGTTCCACTCAGATGGTTTCTTCTGAAGAACTGCTACTTTATAGAACAGACTCATGAGAGGATGTTTTCCCAATCACTACAATCTTAACTTTCTCAGGTCTAGAGTTAACTATTATCTCTCCTACTACTTATTGCCACCTCTTATGCTACAACAACTCAGTAACTTTCTAGGTTGAGTGGCTCTTGGGCCTTTTATTGAGTGAACATTTAAAAAAAAACGTCTGGGCATCACTCCTAACTGGTCAGACTGATAAGCCATCAGATGTATTTTTAATGTTCATTCATGTATTTTTTAAGCATTTCACCCCAAGCAAGCTGGGAATGCCACAAATATGCAGAGGGTTACAGGAAGTGAAGGTGAGAGAAAATACTTGGTATAGATGGATTGAGGAAAGGATAAAAGTTGAACAGCATTCAAGAAGATAGAAGATGGCAATTGATGTTGCATTTAAATTTTTGAAGATTGTAGTTATCAGGGAAGCAAGTAAGCAGAAGGGAGTTCCACAAGTGGGAAGTGCAAGAAAAGAAACTCTTGGAGTAGAAGTGGTGGTTATATTTACCTAATTCAACAGTAAAATGGTGGAACCTAGGTGCCAATTTAGTAACACACTTAAACACATGTAGTCCAGGCACCAGAGGATAAAAGCTCATCAGAGCAGTAGCCATGAAAATATTTGTAGAAAAGACAGAGGGAAACCACGTCACATTGGTGTGAAAGTGACTGAAGTCAAAATGTCACATCAGAATCAATTACATTGCAGATCCTTCTTTGGATTTTGTCAAGAACCTCAAGCTGAGTAGCAAGAGCATCAGACCAGATATATATTCACTGCCTGGAAGAATGGTAGATATTTAAATGTGCATGGACTCCAATGAGAAAAACCTTCTGGCACGACACAGTGACCCAACTGTCCTTGTAGCTATTGATTCAATGTAGTCATTCCACTTCAAGTCATTTGAAGATGCAAGGCCAGGCAGGGAAGTTCCTCTATCGTGGTTGAATGAGAGCAGTTTAATTTTGGAGTCATTAAAATTTGCGAGC